CTTTTTGCCACCAGTCCAATAGTTTCCAAGCACTTATTATTGGAATTGTTCGGAAAAAAAACATCAAACGTGGTAAGATATTCATTTTGACTACTGAGATTCTTCCCAACAACGATAAATTCATTTTATTCCATTTCTCAATATCTTGTCTCACTTTAGACCAAAGTTTTTCGTAGTTATTTTTATGCAGCTCTATGTACTTCATTGTCAGTTCTACTCCCAGGTATCTGGTTTTGTTTACCACCTCACAATTCGATATTTGTTGCGGTTCTTGTTTTTCTTCTCCTTTCATATTTTAACACATTATTTTCGATTTCTCTTTGTTAATGTAAAACCCTGCTAACTCTCCAAATTCTGTTATTGTCTTTAGAACCAATGGTATCTTCTGTATCGGCTCGAGCTCTTCAATGATAAACAAATGCTCTGTATTTATATGAAAACTGCAAATGCTCTGTATTTATATGAAAACCCTTTACTTGTTAGTCCCGAAATCTCGTTATCTTCCTTAATCCTCTTCAGCATTACTTCTAAAATCCATATGAATAATAACAGAGATAAAGGGCAGCCTTGTCTTGTTCCTTTCTGCACTTTGAAATATTCTGTAACTTCTGCATTAATTACCAATCATGTTGGTCCTTCATCAGGTTTGTCATTCTGTAATTATTTCTTCATTAGAGCATTTTACATTTTATAAACTCACCCATATTTCAAAATGCTAGTTCTTATACAATTTTTGTTATACACTACCGCGCTTAGATTCCTGATTTAATCCTGATGGAATCAGTGTGTGTAGCCTGAAGATAAATTATTTTGAAGAAGAGAAGCTGATTATAATCCATCAGGATTATTCCATCAGGATTAAATCAGGAATTAGACTTGAGTTCTTTTCTGTAAATGGTCAGGGTACCTTTAAGATAGAACATGCCATCTTAAAACATAAAACCTGTTGCAGCCTACAAATTTTCCATTGAGACATTGTGCCGCACTGAGGGAAGCTGCTAATTGTACAATTATTATATGCTGTAGACCCAGTCACATTAGAGCCTGCTATAGGAGCTCCCCAGTCACCAGGTTGGTAAATTTTAAAATGTTTTCTTTATTTTAATTTTTTTTTGGTATGTGTTATCATTGGAGAATTGTGAAATACATATTGTGCTTGTCTGCTGTTTTCTAGAATCTAAGCGCGGTAGCATACATCAAAAATTGTATAAGAACTAGCATTTTGAAATATGGGTGAGTTTATAAAATATAAAATGCTGCTCTGTATATTAGAGTAATGTTTATGTTTTTGGTTATTAAGCATGTTACACTCCATTGCAGCTTGCAGCACTTCATTCTAATGAAGAAATAATTACAGAATGACAAACTTGATGAAGGACACGCAAACGGATAGTGTACTAGAACTCCGTCGTTTGTCTGTAACTAGTACTGTATTACTTTGTAGGTACTGCTAAGCTTTATATCGGATATTGTAGTGTTATTTTTGCAATCTTGTTAATAATTGAATTCTAAACATTGCATATAAAAAACAACAAATATTGTTTAATTGTACATGGTGATTTACTGTTTTACTGGCTATTGTACACCATGGTCCTGTTTGTTGTAAAGATATATCAGAAGCAAAAGTAAAAATTGACAGATACAATCAGAAGTCTAAATGCAGTGTTCCAGCAACTTGCATGCAGAGATAATGAGAACTATTATCAAGAAATAGAAGAGAACACCAAAAAAGGAAAAATAAATAAATTCCACAAGGTCAAAGAAATCAAAGGGAAATTTAAACCACGTGTAAGAATGCTGAAAGATCAACACAGAAATACATTAACTGAACAGGACAAAATAAAGAGAGAACAATACACTGAAGAACTGTACAGAAGAGATGAAAGAATGGCAAATTCCTTCAAAAAAGAATCTTTTGAAGAAGAACCTGCAATTTTAGAAGGAAGAGTGAAAGCTGCACTCAAAGTAATTGGGAGAAACAAATTGCTGGAAGAAGATGGGATATCAAGAGAGTTATTTCAAGCCACAGAAGTGGAGTTCATCAAAATCTTAACAAGGATATGTCAGCAGGTATGGAAAACAAAACAGTGGCCCACAAACTGGAATGCTCAATCTACATTCCAATTCCGAAAAAAGGAAATGTCAAAGACTGCAGTAACTATCAGACCATCATATTAATTTCTCATACAAGCAAAGTGATTGTCATGTTCAGGGCTAAGCCTGGCGCTATTGCTGTACCTAGAGTTCCCAGGATACACAAATACAATTACAAGTACAGAAATGCATAGGAGCAAAGTCCATAAACTGGTCCAGAGTCAGATATCTGAAGGTCCAGTCCAAGTGTCAGGGTAGGGCAGTCCAGGGATCCAGTTCCATGGAAGTGGTAGCTGGCTGGCCCATGACAGTGATGCTCAAAGTGGAATGAGAAATGCTCAAGCTGGATTCAGAAACAGAAGAGGCACTAGAGATCATACTGCAGATTTGCATTGGTTGCTGTACCATACAAGAGAATTTAAGAAGGATGTATTTATCTCCCTACCTGCGCAATCTACATGGAGAACATATCATAAGGAAAGCTGGTTTAGATTTGGATGAAGGTGAAGTGAAACTTGGTGGAAGGAACATTAACCATTTTTATTCTCATCGTCATTATTTATTAGATTTATTAATCATCCCGTCCCAGTTTACGCCGGGCTCTGTGTGATGTACAAGGAATAATGCCATAAAATGTACAAAAACATTAAAATTCAATATATAACCTAGTAAAAATTACAATATGGAATAAAATGATCCAAGATGGTGATTTTCCTATAATATTATTTGTCCCAATTCCAGGCTACCAGCCCCTTTTCTGGGTAGGGGGGAAAGGAACTAAGAGCAAAAGGGGGGGAGAGGGAAGGGTGGCAGCCAATGAGGTACTCACAAACAACGTATGTGTTGGTAGCTTGTTCCTAGACTGAACCATTTTCAGTTGCAGGGGTGGGGTTTACACATGGCTGTATGATCCTCCATAAAAAAAAAAAAATCTCTGCACATAGAAAACTAGATATTAGGGACAATTATTCTAGCCTTGCCTGCACCGATATCTTCTTCACATGCAATCTGAAAATGGTGTACATATTATGACTATGTTTACCCCACTGGACAAATCTGTCAAACATGCTCAATATTTTCATGTATCCTTGCCTGCCCATATGGATGTGAAGTATTGCATACCCATGACTGTGAAGAGGTAACTATGGTGTGGGGTGTGTGTGTTTGAAATAGTCGATTTCTCCTCTGGCTCTGATGAAACAGGCTGGATTTAAAGTTCCTGGAGGCTAGATCAACAGATGCTATCATTCTTCTTTACAAGCATTTGTGCACATGAACTGACAAACATATTACAAAGCTTATCCCATATCAGACTATTAGTTCATCTAACCCAGCAATACCTGGCAGTGGCTTCCCAGGGTCCCAGGCATAAACCTTTCCCAGCCCTGGTGCCTGGATTGGACTCAGGTACCTTCTACATTCTTCATTCTAATTAATTGCTGGGCTGATTTCAGCTGTTGCTGCAAGATACATAACAGTAATCAGCATATTGTTCAAAATCTAATGCTTTGCTTTTTATAATGCTAAGAACTATTTCACTTTAAATTTGCTTGGTTATGCTGTTTAAACATTCAATTAAATGGCCTTTGTTTGATAGAGAAAAAAAGGGTTTTTCATGCTTTGTTCTGAATAAAAACTAAAAATTCATTACGAAATTTCTTTAGGCTCTTTGGTAGATGATGAATCTTTGATTGGTGTATTGCGAACAACTAAACAAACTGCTACAGAGGTATCAGAAAAGCTGGAAGTTGCAGGAGAGACAGAGAAAAAAATTAACACAGCACAAGAGGAGTATCGTCCTGCTGCTACACGAGGAAGCATTCTTTATTTTCTTATCACAGAAATGAGCATGGTCAATAATATGTATCAAACGTCACTGGCTCAGTTCCTAAAACTGTTTGATCAGTCAATGGCAAGGTAAGAGCACAATGCTATTGCTGCTCTTCAAAGATCCATTATTTCTTTGCCTTTCCCAATTTCATCCAATATTAATATTAATCACTTTGTTTGTTTACTTTTATTTTCATGCTGTAGAGCTGAGAAGTCCCCTATCCCACAGAAAAGAATCTCAAATATTATAGAATTTTTGACATATGAAACATTTGTATATTCTGTTAGAGGCTTGTATGAAAACCACAAATTTCTCTTTACACTACTTCTGACATTAAAAATTGACCTTCAAAGGGGCCAGGTGAAGCCAAAGGAATTCCAAGCACTCATTAAAGGTAATAATTTAATTGTGAATTTTTTATACCCTATTGCAAAGGCTTGTTAGGGGTTATACATTGTTGTGCTTCCACATAATGGTTTACAGATGTA